GTTTTTTATCTCAACTCAGTGACTGGAGACATATCAATATTAAGAAGTCTGGACTATGAGGATACTACATTTTATGAAATTAAAATTGAAGCACAAGATGGACCAGGTCTTATTTCAAGAACCAAGATTCTAGTCACAGTTCTAGATGTGAATGACAATGCCCCAGAATTTACAATCACTTCCCTCACAGACTCAGTTCCAGAAGAGGCTACAGCTGGGAGAGAAATTGCTCTTATCAATGTCCATGACCGAGATTCTGGGCAGAATGGACAAGTCACAGTTTTTGTCCTGGGAAATCTGCCATTTAATTTAGAAAAATCAATAGACCAGTATTACCGCTTAGTGACAGCCAAATCTCTAGATCGTGAACAAGTGTCTGAATATAATATCACTCTGAGAGCCACAGATGAGGGAAATCCACCTCTGTCCACAGAAGTCCACCTCACTCTTCATGTGGCAGACATCAATGACAACCCACCTGTCTTCACTCATGCTTCCTTTTCTGCCTACATTCCCGAAAATAACCCTAGAGGAGCTTCCATCTTCTCTGTTACTGCTCAGGACCCAGACAGCGACAACAATGCCCGCATCACTTATTCATTGACTGGGGATACCCTCCAAGGGTCACCGTTGTCTTCCTATATCACCATCAACTCTAACACTGGTGTCCTGTATGCACTGCACTCCTTTGATTATGAAGAATTTAGAGATATGCAGCTACTGGTGACAGCCAGCGACAATGGGGATCCTCCACTAAGAAGCAATGTATCCTTGAACCTGTTTGTGCTGGACCAGAATGACAACATCCCTGAAATCCTGTACCCCACCCTCCCTACAGATAGCTCCACTGGTGTGGAGCTGACGCCCCGCTCTGCAGAGCCTGGATACCTGGTGACCAAAGTGGTGGCAGTGGACAGAGATTCGGGCCAGAACGCCTGGCTGTCCTATCGCCTGCTCAAGGCCAGTGAGCCAGGGCTCTTTGTGGTGGGGCTGCACACTGGAGAGGTACGTACAGCAAGAGCCCTACTGGATAGGGATGCTCTCAAGCAGAGTCTTGTAGTGATTGTGCAGGATCATGGCCAGCCTTCTCTTTCAGCCACAGTCACACTCACCATAGTAGTGGCAGACAGCATCTCTGATGTCCTGGCAGACCTGGGCAGCATCAGGACCACCACCAGTCCTGATGATTCAGACCTTACATTCTACCTGGTGGTGGCAGTGGCTACCGTCTCCTGTGTCTTCCTTGCCTTTGTCATCATGCTGCTGGTGCTCAGACTTTGGCGCTGGCGCTCATCACACCTACTCCAGGCTTCAGGAGATGGGCTGGTGAGAATGCCTACTTCACACTTTGTGGGTGTGGATAGAGTGCATGCTTTACTGCAGACATATTCCCAAGAGGTCTCCCTCACCACAGACTCAAGGAAAAGTCAACTTATCTTCCCCCAACCCAACTATGCAGATACACTCATCAGCCGGGAGAGCTGTGAGAAAGGCGAGCCTCTCCTGGTATCCCAAGATTTGCTTGAAACCAAAGGAGACTCCAAGCTACTTGTGGTGAGTTAATTATGCCAACGTTTTAACACACATTTATTTGAGAAATAAATCAATGAGGTAGTAATTAGTTCTGTTGTCTAAATATTTGTCCTTTTCTTCTTCTGAGTCTATGGGATGGGTATGGGAGGATTATGACTAAGTAGGTCTAGGTGATTAGTTTTGGCTAATATTCTGTGAGTGGCAATACCATATGTCACTTCTTGGAGGAAGCTCTAATTGCCATTGTCAGAATATCCAGATCACTAAGCTACACTTTGAAACTTTAGCTGCAAGAACTAGGGGTGAAACTCAGTGGGAGAATGTTTGCCTAGTGTGGCCTAAGCCTTGGGTTCAATTCCCAGCACTGGAAGAAGAAAAGGAAAAGGAAAAGGAATGACAGAGGGAGGGAGGGAGGAAGGAAGGAAGGAAGGAAGGAAATGAAATGAAATTATGGCTGGTTCTTCTACCTGTGTCCTAATATTGATCTATATTGATCTGGTCCTTATACTTGTGATAAACAGGCCTTATGATAGGAATCAAATCCAGGGCTTTGGCTCTTCCAAAACACATACTCTAATACTTAATTAAACCCTTTTTTACATTTCGTATTATTATTTATTTATTTCCATTCTGAAGATTGAACCCCAGGACCTTTCACACACTAAGCAAATGCTCTACCACTGAGTACACATTATTGTTGCCTGGGCTGGCCTTGAACTTGAGATCCTCCTGCCTTAGCCTCCTGAGTAATAGCCACTTTTTACATTTTAAAATCACTGTGATCTGAAGTGTGTCATTGCTATCTACAAAACCTATCCTGACTCACACAAACAAATTAAAAATTTTATAAATACAAACAAGTTAAGATATGTATATATAAAACTTAAAATTATGTTTGACTTCTTCCAAACCATATCACACTCTTTTTCACCTCAAGTATTCAAGGATGTGTGTGTGTGTGTGTGTGTATATATCGCGAGGGATTCATATTGATTCCAGGCTTTTGCTTGAAAGTAAAAAGTTTCACCTAATTTGAGGCCTAAATTGTTATGAGCCTCAGAATAATATTTTCCTCATTGAGAAGGGCTTTAAAAAACAAAGATATGTTTCAGTCTCTGCAAGAGACTTCCAGACCATCCATTTCAATAATGGATTAGGAGTGCTAATCATGCTGTACAACTCTGTTGAGCCAAAAATCATTGATGCATTTTGAAATTTATGAAATTTTTTCACTCATGTTATCATAAGTGGGTATTCAAAACTGGACCAAAATATATTTACTTAGATCTCAAAGGACAAATCTCTCCCTCAGCATATTAGGAAAAGCATATTAGGTGATTAGTTTGTGTGAGACAACAGAGCCTGAAGAAAATATCTTTAAGCAGAGAAAGGTATATTCTCACTCAGATATTCAAACACATCACAGAATTAACAAGTCACTAACCTTGGCATCTTTTTAGGGAACATCTTTATAGTAAGGATAAAAAATATTTAGTGGCTATTTCCAGGGGAAATTTATAGGCTCAAAGAGAATTTTCTACAAATTTCATATGAAGCATAGTGTATTCTCAGGTGTATCCTGAAAATACACTGAGCATATAAATTTCCTTACTTGTGTGTAGACAATGAAAAAGTCTCCGACACACTATTTTCAATAGAAAGGATTTTTTGAAGGACAGGCAAAATTCACTAGAAAGAAAAGGAGGAAAATATATTATAAAAGGAACAGATTATATAAAGGCATGAACTAGAGAAAACTTGTGTTAGGAAAGCAGATAATAGTCTATTTTGACTGGAGTATTAGATGAGCACTGCAAAATAGTAGAATAACTGTTTAGTTGGCATCTTAATCCATTGTTTGTTGCTGTAACAAAATAACTGAGACTGGGAAATTTATAAAAACAGATATTTGTTTAGTTGATGGTTCCAGAGTCTAGGATGTCCAAGAGAATGGTGCCATCATCTGCTTAGCATCTGATGAGAGCCTTCTTATAGGGTAATGACATGGCAGAGGTCATCAATTCACAGAGGTAGGTGCTTTTGTCATAAAGTCACTCATGTGATAACCTAATAATCCATTCATGACTCAATCACCACTCAGAGATCCAACCTCAAAATAAAATTAACATTTGGATTTGGGAATTACATTTCTAACACATAAAATTTGTGGAACACCTTCAAATTATAGCAGCATCTAAGTTGATAATGTATTTGAAATAAAGGGATTTGCTTCTCTGAATTATGCAAGACCAGGATAAATTCTAAAATAGAGTATCTAAGAATCTTCAGTATCTATCCAGGAATTACCAGTGATCAAGTCAAATCCATTTCATTCATTAATGGTGTAAACTGATGAGCCAAGAATTGCAGTTGCACATGCATTGATATATATGAAAATACTGGTCTCATAAAAACATATATGGCTTGGGCTGGGGATGTGGCTCAAGCAGTAGTGTGCTCACCTGGCATGCATGTGGCCCGGGTTCAATCCTCAGCACCACATACAAACAAAGATGTTGTGTCCGCTGAAAACTAAAAAATAAATAAATATTAAAAAAATTCTCTCTCTCTCTCTCTCTCTCTCTCTCTCTCTCTCTCTCTTTAAAAAAAGCATATATGGCTTATACAAGAATGATTATTGTAAAAGCATGTGTGTGCCCAAATATTAACTGGTCCCTTTAATAAAATATCAGGTTCTTGTCTACTTTACTAGGAATGTTATATTTTAAAAATAAAAACAATACATTAAAATAATTCTAGAACCTTTGAACCTTTACTCCTTTTTTTTTTTTTTCCAAAACCGAGTCTTTGAAAAAGTGTTACTAGACTAATGGAGTATATATGGAGAAATTAAGATACTAAATAAGAGAAGTTATTCCTATGAATTTGAAGAAAGGTAAGGATCATAGTCCACTAAAAATGTAGATTAAATCCTTTAACTTGTTTGGATACACCAGTCATGTCTGAGTTCATAAATACCATATAGTAAAATCACTGAAGATATTTTTACACCCAAAAACGGGGGGAGGGGAATGATTTATGCCTTTCAAAGCAAAAAAAGAAGACTGTAAAATGATGAAGACATTTGTGAGATTGTGAAAAACAAGAAAATTTAAAGGAAAATATGAATATTTAGTTTTTTCAAGCAAATTAAAAGACAAGGCATATAGAGGGGGAAATGTACTCTGAGGATAAATAGCTGGGCGATACGCAGTTATCCAAAATGACCTCCAGGCGCCGCTGTCGACCAAAGGGAAGATAACAGTTCTAATTTCTGCAGGAGAGTCAAGCCAGTGCTTTCCGTTTTATTCAGCGCATATCAGAAAGCAGTCGCCGCTCCAGTGCACTCTCAAGAGTCCAGTAAATGGTCTTACCTTCGAATCACGAAAGTCTAGGGTTCTGTCATTGCCTTTTAAAAATATATCCCAGAGAAACCTTGAAAAGAAGCTTCCTGGAGAGATCAAGAAATGCAGAGGAGTGCCAGAGAAACTGATACAATGCGAAGTCAGGTACTGTTTCCCTTCCTGCTGTGTTTGTTCTGCGGGGCCATCTCCCAGCCCATTCGATACTCAATTCCAGAGGAGCTGGCCAAGGGCTCTCGAGTGGGGAACCTCGCCAAGGATCTGGGGCTCAGTGTCCAGGAGTTGCCAGCTCGAAAACTGCGGGTTAGTGCAGAGGATTATTTCAGTGTTAGTGCAGAGAGTGGGGACTTGTTAGTGAGCGGCAGGATAGATAGAGAGAAGATTTGCGGGAGAAAATCTGAGTGTGCACTGGAATTCGAATCAGTCATTGAGAACCCAATGAATATTTTCCACGTGATTATTGATATCCAAGATATTAATGACAATGCACCATGTTTCATTGCAAAAGAGACTGAATTAGAAATTTGTGAGTCAGCATTACCAGGGGTAAAATTCCCTCTGGATTCTGCACAAGATGCAGATGTAGAAAGTAACTCACTGAAGATATACACTATCAGCCCCAATGAATACTTCTCTTTGTCGACAAAAGAAAGTCCAGATGAAAGTAAATATCCAGAATTGTTGCTGGAAAAACCTCTAGACAGGGAACATCAGAACTCCCATCGCTTAATCCTAACCGCCATCGATGGTGGGGAACCGCCTCTAAGCAGCACCACCCAGATTCGGATCAAAGTCACTGACGCCAACGATAATGCTCCGGTGTTCAGCCAGGACATATACAGAGTTAGTCTCAAAGAAAATGTGCCCCAGGGAACTTCTGTGCTGCGAGTGACGGCCACAGATCAGGACGAAGGCATTAATGCAGAGATCACCTATGCCTTCCTCAATGCTCCTACAAGTGCTAGCCTCATTTTCCATCTCAATCCAAATACGGGCGATATCACAACTAACGGTACATTGGACTTTGAAGAAAGAAATAGATACGTGTTGGGTGTGGAAGCCAAGGATGGAGGGGTGCACACAGCTCATTGTAATGTTCAGATTGAAGTTGTTGATGAAAATGACAATGCCCCAGAGGTGACATTTGTGTCCTTTTCTAACCAGATTCCAGAGGACTCAAACCTTGGAACCATAATAGCCCTCATTAGGGTGCGAGACCGGGATTCTGGGCAAAATGGTCTGGTGACCTGCTATATTCAGGAAGAGGTTCCCTTTAAATTAGAATCCACTTCCAAGAATTATTACAAGCTGGTAATTGACAGGGCCCTAAACCGGGAAGAGACCGCAGAGTACAATGTTACCATCACAGCCAACGACAGGGGCAAGCCATCCCTTTTCTCCACAGCAAGCGTCACCCTCTACATCGCGGACATCAATGACAATGCGCCGGTTTTCCAGCAGGCTTCCTACACGGTCCATATAGCTGAGAACAACCCACCTGGAGCCTCCATCGCTCAGGTCAGTGCCTACGACCCGGACTTGGGCACCAATGGCCAAGTCTCCTACTCCATCATGGCCAGCGACCTGGAGCCTCAGGTACTGTCGTCCTATGTGTCCGTGAGCGCACATAGTGGGGTGGTGTTCGCGCAGCGAGCCTTCGACCACGAGCAGCTACGAGTCTTCCAGCTGACGCTGCAAGCGCGCGACCATGGCTCACCAGCTCTCAGCGCCAACGTGAGCCTGCGCGTGTTGGTAGGAGACCGCAACGACAACGCGCCACGGGTGCTCTACCCCGCGCTCGCTCCCGATGGCTCAGCGCTCTTCGACACTGTGCCGCGCGCCGCGGAGCCCGGCTACCTGGTCACCAAGGTGGTGGCGGTGGACGCGGACTCGGGACACAATGCCTGGCTATCCTATCATGTGCTGCAGGCCAGCGATCCCGGACTCTTCAGCCTGGGGCTGCGCACTGGAGAGGTGCGCACAGCGCGTGCCTTGGGCGACAGGGATTCGACTCGCCAGCGCCTACTAGTTGCTGTGCGTGATGGTGGACAGCCACCCCTTTCCGCCACCGCCACGCTGCACCTGATCTTCGCGGATAGCCTGCAAGAGGTCTTGCCAGACCTCAGCGATGACCCTCTGCCCACTGACCCCCAGTCTGAGCTGCAGTTTTACCTGGTGTTGGCCTTGGCCTTGATTTCTGTGCTGTTCCTTCTGGCGGTGATTCTAGCTATTGCTCTGCGCCTGAGACACTCCTTCAGTTCTGCTTCCTGGGGTTGTTTTCAGTCTGGTCTCAGCTCCAAGTCTGGACCTGTGGTTCCCTCCAACTACAGCGAGGGGACTATGCCCTATTCCTACAATCTATGCGTTGCCTCGCATTCTGCAAAGACAGAGTTTAATTTTCTTAACATAACACCGGAAGTGGCTCCTCCTCAGGATCTTCTATGTGATAACCCTTCTATAGCTGGTTGTGCCAATAATGAAGACCTTAAACTCTCCTATGATTCTTCTTTTTCCTCTCAGGTAAGTTTCCGTAAACCTGTCTACATTTTTATATACTGTATTTGCTTCTCCATTGTGCATAATTAATTTTGGCCAATTTTCATGGTTCTGGTGATGGTATCACAAGAGGAGATTGTCTGCAGAATATGAGGCATAGACGAAAAGATAGAGATGAGTTCTTTCATTGTGTAAAATTACCTGAGTACTAATTTTCAGTCTTTATTGTTGGCATTTCTCTGCGGTTGGCAACTCTTGCTAGGGAGCTGTTTCCTATATATCAACACCCTTAGTAATAACAGTGCACTTTCTTAGTTAATCTTTGAAACTATTCTTAAGTTTATGCTTAACCTTTATTAATAGGTCTACAGATCTTTCTGCCCGCATTAAAGTTTACCTTCATCTTCATCAACTACATTCTAGTTGTTTACCTTTTTGCTGAAACATTTGTTTAATGCAGCCTTCCAATAATTAAGCTTGTAATTAGCACTTGTATTATCACAAGTAGTAAACACTGTCATATTTTACATTTGAATCACTAACTTTGGATCAATATTATTCCCACTAACACTTTCACTCTAGGATATTTCATCATTTTCTTAACTATTCTTTGTTTTAATGCTGCTTATACTTTTATACTTTATTACTATTATAAGAAGGAATGTGAATGACATTTATTTATAAAGCATTTTCTCTATTCTTATTATTTATTTAATATAAATTTTTAAGAATTGAGTCAAATTTATAAGTATTTATAGATTTTTATGCATATAATCAAATTTATTTCCAAAACATCTCATTTTAATCTCCTACTTCTCATTAACTTAAGGACTGTGAAAAATACCTTTAATCTACTCACTCAAAGTCTGAAGATTTTAAGATTCTGTATAGTTAGTAGAATTTTGTGTCTCATTAAAATATAACAATTCTCTATTTTTCTGGTGCTGGGAATCAAACCCAGATCTTTATTCATTCTAGGCAAGTGCTCGACCATGGAGTACATTCCCAATGCTCCCAATTTGAGTCATTTTTATGTGCTAATTTTGAAGTGAGAAATAACCTCAAAGAATGGTGACATTTTATCTCAAGTTACTCAATAAAACTATAAAATATACAATAATAATTCATATGTAACTACTAAAATATTACCTTTGCTGGTTATTTTAAGATCAAGGCTATAAGAAACAGAAATGATGGTCAAATAATACCATTGGTAATGATAAAATAAGACTACTGGATGTCTTATACAAAAAAATCACTGAACTATTATCTTTACAATAAAGTTTAACTTTTCTTTTTACTCCTCTTGTTTTTTCTAACATCAGAGTTATTGACCCCTTATTTGAGGCTTTACTTTGCATGAGTAATTCATTCACAAAACACTGAAAAATATTTGTTGGGTGTTTACTCTATGCAAGTTGCTGTTCTGAAGGTTGAGGACACACTGTGAACAGGACAGTCACAAGCATACTTGTGGCCTAGAAGCTCCTGTATACAAAATTAACAAGCAAATTCTCTTTTAAAACATAGAATCAGGGGCTGGGGCTGTAGCTCAATGGTAGAGCACTTGCCTAGCACATGTGAGGCACTGGATTCAATTCTAACCACCTTATATAATTGGATAAATAAAATAAAGATCCATCAACAACTAAAAAAAATATTTTTTAAAAAAATCATAGAATCATTTTTGACCAGCCCCTTTGCACAGGAATAAGACTGTCTCTTGAACAACAGGAATTTTCTTGTAAAGGAATTGAAAAGTTGCCCCGATTTGAAAGGTTGAACTCAAGTGAGGAAACTTGGTTCCACATAGTTAGGGACTACAGCTGGATCTCCAAGTTCTGGGGCCACTGTCTTTTCATCTATAGCTTTCCTCCACTTTTCAAATCCACCCTTGTTCCTGGGAGAAATGAACATGTCCCTCACACAATACACTGTCCTGAAAATGGACTACAGGGATGAAGAATGCGAAAACTAAGAAGAGGTAAAAGCATTCTTTGCCCTCAAACTGAACACATTATTTCTCTAAGAAAATAAATAACTTTATAAATCTTATTGTAGAGGAAGCTTTGGGTTATTCCTGGATTTTCATTGCAAATTAAACAACCGGAATTTGGCTTTTATTCTCCCTGGGAGAAATAGGAATGGAAAAGGTGTATAAAAGTGGATACTTTTATCTGGAATAAATTGCAATAACAGGTTAGGACTCTGAGTGTCGCTGTTCACCAATCGGGGGGGAAAGACAGAATTTAATTGGAACAAGATTTCCGCAGTACAAAGAACTGGTTCTGGGGCTGTAGGGTAGCTTCAGACTGGACCCTCCAGAACTCCAGCATCCAAGGTGGAAGTACATTATCTTAGAACCAACAGATCGTAGGACTGTCAGGCCTCCAAGAGAGAATACCCAAGCCGGGGCAATTCCGCAGCGGGGCTGTAATGGCGGCTAACCTTTATCCACCAGACTCCAGCGGACTGATTTGTATCTGCATTCTCCTGGGGGCCCTGTGGCAAATACCGGCCGAACAGATCCGCTACTCGGTGCCTGAGGAGCTGGAGAAAGGCTCTGCGGTGGGGCACATTGCCAAGGACCTGGGGCTGGAGCCTCGGAAGCTCACGGAGCGCGGAGTCCGCGTCGTCTCCAGAGGTAAAACTCAGCTCTTTGCTCTGAACCCGAGAAGCGGCAGCTTGGTCACCGCTGGCAGGATAGACCGGGAGCAGCTCTGTGACAGATCTCCAAAGTGTATGGCAAACCTGGAAATTTTCCTAGAGGACAAAGCAAAGATTTTTGGAATAGAAGTGGAAATAATCGATGTTAATGATAACTCGCCCACCTTTGGAACAGAGCAGAGGGAAATAAAAGTTGCTGAAAATGAAAATCCTGGAGCACGATTTCCTCTGCCTGAGGCTTTTGATCCGGATGTGGGGGTAAATTCCTTGCAAGGTTACCAGCTCAGCTCGAATGTTCACTTCTCTCTGGATGTGCAAAGTGGGGCAGATGGAATTAAGTACCCGGAGTTGGTGCTGGAGCAGGCCCTAGATCGCGAGGAAGAGGCGGTTCTCCACCTCGTTCTTACTGCCTTTGACGGAGGTGACCCAATTCGCTCTGGTACTACCAGTATTCATGTAATACTTTTGGACAGCAATGATAATGCTCCTGTATTCACTCAACCGGAGTACCACATAAGTGTTCAGGAGAACTTGCCTGTGGGCACCCGCCTACTCACCATAAAAGCCACTGATCCTGATGAAGGAACCAACGGGGAAGTGACTTATTCTTTCCGAAACGTAAGAGACAAAATATCCCAGCTATTTCAGTTGAATTCTCTGACAGGGGACATAATAATATTGGGGGATCTAGATTATGAGGACTCTGGATTTTATGACATAGATGTAGAAGCTCATGATGGACCTGGTCTCCGAGCCAGAAGTAAGGTACTGGTGACCGTTTTGGACGTAAATGACAATGCTCCAGAAGTCACGGTTACCTCTCTCACCAGCTCAATCCAAGAAACCTCTTCTCCAGGTACAGTAATTGCAGTTTTCAATGTGCATGATGGTGACTCAGGAGAGAATGGATTTGTCACTTGTTCTATTCTGGATAATCTGCCATTCAGGCTTGAAAAGACCTATGGAAATTACTATCAACTCTTGATACATAGAACTCTGGACAGGGAAGAAGTTTCAGAATATAACATTACGATAACTGCCACTGACCAGGGAAGTCCTCCTCTGTCTACAGAGACTCATATCTCACTGCAGGTGATGGACATCAATGATAATCCACCCACCTTCACACATGCATCCTATTCTGCCTACATTCTGGAAAACAACCCCAGAGGAGCATCCATCTTATCCATGACAGCCCAGGACCCTGACAGTGGTGAGAATGCCCATGTCACCTACTCTCTGACAGAGGACACCATCCAGGAGAAAACTTTGTCCTCCTATGTCTCCATCAACTCCAACACTGGTGTCCTGTATGCACTGTGCTCCTTTGATTATGAGCAGCTCCAACACTTGAAGCTACTGGTGACAGCCAGGGACAGTGGGAACCCTCCACTCAGCAGCAATGTATCTCTGAGCCTGTTTGTGCTGGATCAGAATGACAACATTCCTGAAATCCTGTATCCTGCCCTCCCCACTGATGGTTCTACTGGTGTGGAGCTGGCTCCCCGTTCAGCAGAGCCTGGATATCTGGTGACCAAAGTGGTGGCAGTGGACAGAGACTCAGGACAGAATGCCTGGCTGTCCTACCGCTTGCTCAAGGCCAGTGAACCAGGGCTCTTCTCAGTGGGGCTGCATACTGGTGAGGTGCGCACAGCACGGGCCCTGCTGGATAGAGATGTGCTGAAGCAGAGTCTTGTGGTGACTGTCCAGGACCATGGCCAGCCCCCTCTGTCAGCCTCTGTCACACTCACCATAGCTGTGGCTGACAGCATCCCTGATGTCCTGGCAGATCTGGGCAGCATCAGGACTACCGACCCTGATGGTTCAGACCTCACCCTCTACTTGGTGGTGGCAGTGGCTGCTGTCTCCTGTGTCTTCCTTGTCTTTGTCATTTTGCTGTTGGCACTCAGGCTACGATGCTGGCACATGAATCGCCTACTTCATGCTGCAAGTAGCAGGTTTGGTGAAGTGTCTGTACCACAATTTGTAGGCATGGATGGGATGCAGGCATTCCTTCAGACCTATTCCCATGAGGTCTCCCTCACTGCAGACTCCAGGAAGAGCCACCTGATATTCCCTCAGCCCAACTATGCAGACACGCTCATCAGCCAGGAGAGTTGTGAGAAAAATGAGCCTCTTCTAGTTCCACAGGATTTAGGTGAAACTAAAGGAGACCCCAATCTTCTTCAGGTGAGTCAATCCTATAATCCATCCTAACACACTGAAACATAGGCACAGAGTTTTGTAAATGTCTCCAATTATGTTAAGATATGTAATATACTAAATAAAGGCACCTCTTTATTAATATTTTGTTATTTTAAAGGGGAGAAATAATAATGTAAATAACATTTACTAAACAAAGGAACTATTCATTCATTTCTTTCTTTCTTTTCTTTTTGGAAATGGTGAGGATTGAATCCAGG